ACATTGTCTGTGCCATCAGAAATAGCACATGAATATCCAACAGAAAGCCTACACACCATGTCTTACACTCCTATTAAAAGCTAAGATGTTCCTGTAACATACAATGAAACATACCTAACCCTTGCATCCTAATAGATATATAAACACACAAAATAAACAAGACATTACCCACAAAACTTTCCAAAAGCAAAGCTGCAGAAAGATATGGCTAAATATAACCGTAAGACTGTAAGAACAAGGCCCTGTACACAGATTGAATCTTCATGTCTCTCCTTGCAGCAACAAGAACAAAACAAGATTGTATAGTTATAGAGGAGTAATCAGGCTCTACCTAGTTTTTACATGTGAATAATAATAGTTGTATGATATCAATTGTGTTGTTGTGGAAATAGCAAAGATGCATTTATTTTAATATTCTGCATATATTCCTTAACTCTGTAACATCTTCTGATCATCCTGTAGGATGATTTTTTCCAGCAAAAAGATAATGGATGAGGTTTTGATGAGAGAAAAAGGTTGCACCTGGATAATGGCCCCTTCTCCTACTGTTTATGTAATATTATAAAATAATATTTTATATTATATATATTATAATATTTTGGGAGGCTTAGAAATGGGAGGAGGAAGATATTGTATCTGGCAAATTCCAACAGACTTTCTCCTAAATTAAAATGAAATATTTATTTGTTAATTATCCCACCCTTTTCCCATCTTCAGTTTCATTGAAATGCTAAAGGATAAAAAAAATTGTTTATAGCAAAAAACAGTAGTTAAGAGCAAGCACCAGGTCCTGATTTCTACTGGTGTTCAGCCGTCCCTATGGTGCTGCTCACAATTATTTCCTCAATACGAACACTACATTGTAAAAAAAACAAGAATATTGTACTCTCATTACAGGTTTTACAAGAAATCTGTGAAACCCATCTTTAGTGTACAGAAAAGAGAAATGGTTCATTTAAAACATTTTCACACTTACGGCCATTTGTCTCCATTACTGGGAAGAAAAGCTTTGCCCAAATTTTTCTTTGATTCTGCCAATCTATAGCGTCTTCTTAGCTGGACAGGGTCTGTGTAGGCTTCACCACTGAAAACTCTCACAAACTCAGGATCAAAATAACCTGCCTGAAGAGCTGACATTGTTTTGGACCCCCCAGGTAACATCTGTTTGTTCTTGCTCGCAGCTTCATTAAAAGGGCCTTTAAAAAAGCAAGCACTGTAAATAACTGTTCGATGTTAGTGCTTCTCTTAGCCTACTTTAAAAAACTAAGGTCTGGATCTGGGTGGCTCCAAGAATGTACTACAGAGCATCTAACTTGTATACCATTCATGTAAATGGTTGTGTCTGAAACACAGTGCCATGAGAAGGTGTTCACAGCACCCAATTCTAGCCAGGGTTCTGGTGAATGTGTTCATCACTGACACATCACCACAGCAGAAATGTCAGTATTGAGAAGCCAGCATTATCTTGCATTTTGACTTCCAAGCAGCTACTGAGGGTTAATCTCTGTAACCTTACTAATTACAAAAATTACCTTTCTCAATGACTATTCCCAATAAACTGTAAGAAAAGGAGACTATTGTTTAAAAAAAAAACAGGATGGGGAATCTCACACATGAATCAGATCAGAACATAACAGACTGTAGCACTAATTTAAAAACAATAACAATGTAATTGTCATTATTTTTGCCATAACAGAAAACTTGCTGAAAGAGTAGACAAAAAACACTTCTGTTTTTCACAAAAGTAAGAAAATACTGGTAACTTGCAGGTAATTAACATTAAAAAGGAATGTACACACTAAAAGATTTCATCAATCTATTATGCATACAGTTTTCAGTTTTACTGGATTTTTCCTTTCTACAATAAATTCATTCCAAGATTCCCTTAAATAATACATACCTGAACAAAGAATATGCATGAAAAAGCAGCTCCCTCTAACCAAAAAAAACCACAACAAAACATTAGAAAATAGTGATTTGGAAAGTAGGTGGATACTAGAGGTGGTCCCTATCACTAAATAGGGATTAAAACTAAATATACTTACGCATATAATGTGATACATATTTATCTCCAATGGTAATATAGCTCATTTCACTGAAGAGGCCAATCCTCTCCAGGTCACTTTTCCCTTCTGCAGGCATGGCTGGATCTGTGTGACAGTGCACTACACTAAAAAGCTTGAAGTAGCCTTGTTTATCTCTCCTATGGCAAATGCTTATAAGCAGTCCACACCTGTAACAGGAAGTTCATTTAAGTAAAATGCAAGAAGTTTTGGTTAAAAATATTAGTAATAAAAGTAACTTGAAGAAAATAATCTACAATATGATTGACAACCTTGGTACTTACAGATAAAATGGACTATGTGGGATTGAGAGACCATTATATAGCCTTTGTTAAACAAATTCAAAACATGAACAGCGAGATAAAAATCAAATGCATTTCTAATACAACTGGCGCCTCTCTTAATGAATTCACATAGTTTCGGTCAAAATTTGTAACAGGCATCTTCAGAGTACTAAGATGAGAGGTTCTGGTGGCATTAACAGCTCGTAACAAACATGCTGAGCACCCACCTCCTTCATCTTGTGGGTTATCTCTAGCAACGGTCATCAGTCACTTTCTAATAACAATATAGGAGGTCAGACTATGGACAAATCTGAGGTAAAACATAAAAGTGGAATTTTGGAAGCCCTCTAACTAATCCAAGACGTGAGCATGGACTCAATTTCTTCTTGGTGTTAGCATAAACAATTTACAGTAAACATTTTTTCCATCACCATCATTGGATCCTGACAGAGCTAAGGAAAATGCCTAGTCAACACTTGTAAGGGGGCCAAGGGCTTGAATAGAGAGCAGGTTTAGCAACAGGACTACCAGGGATCTGATTCCCAGAGTGGACTAGTAGAGATACAGAAATCAGAATTAGCAAGAGGAAGAACTGCCTTGAGGAGGAAGGTAACAACATACAGTAAGTTCACCAGGAATGGAAATTAAGGTAGAAGAAATTGGTTAACAAGTGAGAAAAGCTATTTCTTGAAATTCATGAGATATAAGAAGAAAAAAAAAAAGAAATCAAGGATATGCAACCAAATAGCTGAAGTACCCATGACCATACAGCTCAAACGAGAGCAATTAAATTAAGACATTAGGGTGGAATACAGATTAAAGACCATGTTGGTATTAACTATGGAGACAAATGCAAGATATGCCAGGAATGAAAGTAGGTTGGGCAGCAGCAAACTCTGAGAGACTAATATCACACATCAGCTGTATCCAGTGGGTAGGTGCAGAGTAGAAAAGCAGCAACAGCACAGCAGTGGAAATACATATAACAATCGCATATATTTTATTACAAAAACAGCATGCTGGGACACTGTGTATGACAGAAGAGCTAGTCACATTTTGCTTATGCTCAGCACACAGGATGGACAGACAGCATGCGGAAGTTTTAAGAAGCTTGAAGCTGGTTTTGGGGGTTTTTTTGAACGTGTGGAGGTTCACACAATGTAAAATGTACTAATGGCATTAAGAGCTAGTAATAAAACACGCTGAGCAGCCACCTCCTTCATCTTGTGGGTTATCTCTAGCAATGGTCATCAGTCTCTAATAATAGTACAGGAAGTCAGAGTATGGACAAATCTGAGGCAAAACACAAACGTGGAATTTTGGAAACCCTCTAACTAATCTAAGACCTGAGCACGGCAAGTATCTCCAATTTCCTTTTGGGTTTAGTGCAAATTATTTACAAGTATACATTAGTTTTTCCTCATCACACCTTCACTGGAACCTGCCAAATGAGGATAGGAATAATCTATTGAAAACAGACCTGGAATTAAATTCCACAGTGTAAAGCAAAGATGGTTGATGCAGGGATTAATGGGAAGGATTTTTGGACCTCAGCAGCTCGGCAAGCACGATTCTGGAGCGTCTTCCAAGGAATTTGTATGAAAGCTGAGGAAACGCCCTTTTTTTTTTTTCACAGATCAATCCGGTACCCCCTAAACCGGATTAAGTACCGCTGTGGTTGCCCAACCTGAACATAAAGCCCAACGCTACGCGCTCCACCGCAGCCCACCGCCAGGTCTGGCTACGGGAGGCAGCTGAATCACGAGGGAACCGAGCGGCACCTACCCGCCGGAGCCGGTATCTCACTCACGCGCCACCGCCGCTGGCCGGGGCCGCCCTGTGTTGGTACCGGTTGCCCCGGAGGCGGGAAAGCCCAAAAGGCGGGGCAAGCCTATCCCACGCCCCCTTCGTCCAACTCCCCCCCGTCTCCTTGCAATGGTACGGCCCAAGGCGATGGCTACTGCGCAGGAGCGCGGTGCGGGCGTAGCGCGCGAGGCCCTACCCCCAGACCGCCTTAGCGCGCGAGGCCCTGCCCCCAGGCGGGAGCGCGCGTGCGCGGGGAGGATGTGGCTGGGCGCGGCCTCCTGCGCGGCGCTGACGGACGTGGTGAGTGCGCCCCGCCCTCGCGAGCGGGCACCGCCATAGGGCGGCGGGGTCCGGGGGGTTCGGGGCTTACCACAGATTTCCCTCCCCCGCTCCCTTGCGCGCACGCCGTGGGGTGTTGGTGTTGGTGTTGGTGTTGGTGTTGGTGTTGGTGTTGGTGTTGGTGTTGGTGCTCCGCGGCAGCGTCTGGGCCTCCAGCCCCCGGGGGTACCTCGGTGAAGGCCCATGGGGGCAGGTCGGGGTGCTCAGGCCCCGGGGAGTGTCAGGCGGGCTGCCCCTTCGTGTTCGTCCCTCCCGCAGCAGCCTTTGCCCATGTCGCGCGGGGCCTCGGAGGTGTCCGGCTGTCTTGGCTATGTCAGAGGTCTGCTGGGACGTCATCATCCATGGCGAGCCCCTGCCAAAAGGCCATAGCCTCTCTTACTCCTGCAGAGCTCTGCTTTTCATTCAAGAACGTTATTCTCCAGTTGTAGTAATTCCGATAAAAACATCTACATCAGTCGAGTTAGACCTTTTTTTCACATGCTGGCACTTGTGGATCCCACACTTCAGAACCTTTTGCGTGCAGATAACTGTATTATGTGAAATAGATCATGGTTATGCTTCAGGAACCAAAATGTAGCACATGACAACCTTGCCTTTTTTGTTTCTTGGAGTAAATTTTGGTACTCCAGAATCGTGGAAACCTCAAAATCCTTTACCCAGAGCTCAAAGTGTAGATGCTTGTGTTTTTGTCAGGCACCCATATCGTCTGTATTTCTGCTTAGAACTCTTTTAATGAGAAGAAAATTAGCCCTATACTTTGCTTCTTTTATTTCATGAATAACGTAGCATCGCATCTGGAAGCTTCCCATGTTTTGAAAGCAAATAGGCAGTAAGTCTTTCCAGAAAATCTCAGTGTAATTACTCTTAGAGGCATTTGGTGGCCTTTTTCGAGCACTTAAGACTGTGAAGCATTTCTTTTTGTGGACTGTTAGGTTGAGGAATACCCACATCCCTCTGGACCTTGTGATCCACTCTATGCTGGTTATTGTAGGAGGATGTTGAACTTGACCTGAATTGATCTGGCTGAAAAAGTCTCTGGACAGAAGGGTGGGTTTCCATCTGAAGGAGTTCTCTGGTAAAGTTCATGTTAAAATGTCTGCAAGGGGCAGTTGTGGGAGCAGAGCAAGGACTTTGGAAGGGGAAAGAAACAGCTGGGTGGTTTCTGTGCTGGCATCAGCAGCTCTTGTGTCAGATGTGAAACTTAGCCTGGGTTCTGGGGAGATGGGTGTGTGTCCGCTTTTGTTTTCATCTCCCTGAAGCTGTGATTTCCTTACAGATGTGCTCAGTTACCTTTCTGCTCTAATGCTCAAAGCAGTCCTTGGTTTACTTGAACTGGAAGAAGACTCAGAGGATGGGAAACGTGACATTTGGATTGAAACAATGACATTTTACCCAAAATATTTCTAAATCATTAAAGTATAGAAGTAAGGCTTTCTTGTTTAGGTAGGAAATGTGTTTTAAGGACTGTGCTTGTAGCAATACTAACATGACTGAGGTACTGGCTCTGGCAAGTATGTGCTGCTATGCCACTCACTTTCCTGTTTATTCACTGGCCTTTTACACCCTGACCAGCTGCAGTAATTACTGGTGTGTTCAGACACTGACAAAGTAACAGTCAGCTGTAACTTGGGAGGAGGCATGTTGAAATAGATGTTCATTTTCATTGTTTCTTTTTTCTCCTTAGGTCATTCTAGAAGCTATGGACATACTGTTTAGAATAAGAGGAGGCTTGGATCTTGCATTTCAGCTAGCAACTACTGATGGTGTGTCTACAAGACTATATTAGAGTTCTTAACATTTATATAAATAACCTTTTATTAATTAACTATTAGAATGTTTATTTTCCTGGCTTTTCACCAGATGTTGTGTTTTTTCCCAAACCCGTGAAGATTAAGTACAAAGAATGTTATTCCTTATCTCCGTTACTTTTCTGGCAGTCTTTTTCCATTATATGTTTTTTATTTTAATTTGAAGTAAAAATTACATTTGAAGTAAATTTGAAGTAAAAATTACCATTTTCAGGTAATTTTATTTGCGTATTTTTCACTCTTATGGATACGGTATTGGGATCCAGTTTGAATCCAAAGTGGACCCTGAAATTCTAAGCAAACAGAGAATAATAATGAACTTGGTTATAACAGGGTTATATTAATAATACAGTTTCGCGGTTGTGGACCAGTCTTTCTAGAGAAATAGAGAAGATGAGCAAGCTAACTAGTTACTCTACTGAATTTAGGCAGGATTGGCTACTGCAATTCCATGTGGTAATAAGGGACTCGGGAGGCTCCACTAGTTCCACATTCTGCAGTAATGTGATGTTCACATCAGAAAGTCTGCTCAAGGATCTCAGTGGACACTGAGCTGTCATAGGGCAGAGAGAAGTAAGGTGTCTCTTGCTCAAGTGTAACTCATGCATTTTAAAAGGACATGTCTTTACTTGAAACTCTGAATTCAGTGTTAGTGAACTTGGAAAAGGAACTTGGGCTCATATCAGTTCATCACATATAATAGAAGTGTTGAATAGGTTGGCCTGATGTGTAGCAGCTTCTTGTGAACTGCATCCTCAGAGGAAGGGTATTTACTTGACTGTGTACACTGGAGTGAATTTTAACCACAGTGAAGCAGAGTGATACTCAGGTTGTCAAAGTGCATGGTATTCACACCCGTTAGTGTGTAAATATGGCAGACCACTCCTTTTGAAGGCTGTGAAGTTTTTCTTTTGTTGGAGTTTTGTTTGATTTTCCTAACACTGTCAAGCTCTGAAAGGCAGGCTGTGTGGCTTACGCATACAGATTTATATTGGCCAAAACTTGGTCTGCAGCAGGAGCATGTGACCTGCCTTTTGAAAGATTTAGTATGGATTTTGTTTGTATTTCTGAAGAATAATACCAAGTTAGAAACATGTGACTCAGATTGAATCTTTCCAGGATTTATTTACTCAAAAGACTAATCACCATAGAATTATAACCATATGTAGGTGTTTGTACATAGAAGTTTGTTTGCAGCTGTAGGCTTGGTTGAGGTACCTATGTGAGAATTGACTAAGGTGTATGTTACTCTTCTGTAGTTCATTCAGCTCTTCATATGTGGCAGCATCTGAGAGAAACAGTACCTTTGTCAAGGCAGGTATGAATGTGAATGTTTGAGACAGACCTGTTGAATGAAATCTGATCTCAGTTTTTGTTTCCATAGCCATTTTTCTGATTATAACAGAACTTATGTTTTTATTCCAGGTCAAAGCATACCAGTTTTTTTAGATGTAAGCCCAGCAGCCGTAACAAAACTGAGGGCATTTTCTAGGCTAATTGTATCCTTATTGTGTTTCAGAGGCATCAACAAAAAAGGCATTAGGATATGTTTTCAGTGATCTTGCAAACAAACTGTCCTCGGATGTTCTTGTATTAAGAATTTGCCACAGTTCAATCTATGTATGGCCTAACAGTGGCATGAACACTGTTCCAGAGCTGACTGATGAGTCTGCTTGTAAGGAGATAAGAAAATATATACAGTGAGTATATTTTAATTACTTCTTTTTAAAATAGATTTTTTTCATATTTTAGAAATTTCTTTTTCTGTTGATGCTTTAGATTTGATCAAGATGATGAAACCAAACGAAAGCTTGGCAGAAAAAAGGATAAAAAGTTACAAGATACGGTATGTGTTTCGCCACACTAATAAATTTAAACAACCTATCATAACAACCTTAATCATAACTTTAGACAGCCTGTCGTTTGATCATTTTCAGGTCTGCCCTCCCTAGGCATTTCTGTACAAAACAAACATTGACATGACTTCAAAGAGTACTTTAAAAGTCATTGAGACTCAGTGTGAATGCTGAGACCCACATAGAGTAGACGAGCATGGAGAAGTTTGTATTTAACATTAATAGCTTTTTTTTTTAACCCAAGTATTTCATTACTGAATTTGATACCAAATATTTACAGTCTTGTCTTCTTGGTGCATGTGTTGTTGGAGACGTAGTTAATACTGTATGTTTATTCTCTGCAGCAGCAGATAGTCAATATAGACCTTATGTTGGAAATGACGTCTTCATTACCTGCTTTGGCTCCAGTCATTGAACGGGAAAATAAAGAACACCACTACATAAATATGACATTACCAGTTGATGTTGTTGTATCTGTTTCTCCAGAGGAAACGTGGGGAAAGTAAGTATTTCCTGAAGCTGTAATTTTTCAGGTTAATTTCTGGTTTTTGTTGAAATAATGAAGTAAAACTGTATCATTTATCAGTTTAATAAAGCAGTATTTAGTATGTTTTATGTGGAATTTAACTGGTTAAATCTCAGTACTATGTTAGGGGCTACAGCTGGGTAGGTTAAGGTGGAAAACGTTAAGAGTCTTCCTCTGTATTTTTTCCTGGCATTTTTTTCCAGAGGATTTGACTCTGAAGGATGCTAACTGGGGTGGATAAAATGCACAAAAAAAAAGAAAAAAAAACAAACAAAACCCTATATAGTCATATACGTAACTGGTTTTGGCAAGGGCTCATAATGGTTGTGTTTCTGATACAAGACTAGGGTACCTTCACTTTAGAGGGTTGAATCAATAGGGAGTAGTTTGTGTGTGTGGACAAGCTTTCAGTAGAGCACAGAAAGATTGTCTCTGGGGGAGTGGAAGTATGGAAGTAATAAGTTCATCAGACCAGGTGCAAATATGCATGTAAGTATTGTATAACAGTGAGAACAATGAGAGAAAATCATCCTCCATTGCTGTTCTACTTTTTAAACATTCTCCCTTATATCTTGCAGCGTACAGAATCTCCTGGTGAAAGCAATTCACAGGCAACTAACTGACATGGAAAGATGTATCATGAAATATGTGAAGGGAACATCAATTGTGGTACCAGAACAATTTCATTTCATGTTACCAGGGAAAAATCATCTTGTAACAATCTCTTATCCAACAGGTATTTCAGATGATCAGCTGGAGAGTTACAGAAAGGTAAAGCCAACCAATTCTAACAGAACCTGATTTTTTTATTTTTAATGAAGACTATTGTAACTGAAGCACTGGCAAAGCTTTTCATTTAGCCACTGTAGAATACATACTGACAGATACTGCTATTTTTTCAATTTATTGTAACTGAAGCAGTATACTGAATGTGGAAGCTTGCTTTGTAATGGTATTTTATAAAATGTACCAGATCTCATTTTTTGTAAGGGGTCAATAGAAATTTTAAAACTGTGTAAGATAGGTTTTATCTGAATTATACTTCTGGTACTGTGTTCTTTGAATTTCTTCACTTCCATGGTAGAACATCAGATTACTTCTAGTGTGTTATTACTTTCAAGCTTTACCAAATGTCCTGATAGGATTAATGTTGGAGGTTTTTTATTTGTTGTTTTCAGAGGAGGCTGCGTTTTGAGGGTCACAGCCAATGAGGCTTAGCTAGCTTTTGTTTGTCTGTTTTATGCCTTCTGAGTTGGCGCATCTAGAGAAAGGATTATGAATGAGGTGGAAAACTGCTCTGATGTGGCAGTCCTTTCAGATTGAGGTGTATACCTAGCAGGTACCAGTTCAGGTCCCACAGTTACACACACCAAGAATGGGGAAAGGATCTTTTCCTGCCTTAGAGGTGTAGAAGCCATGGGGATTTTTCATTTTCTTCTTCCTGGGTGTATAAAACCTAATCTGTTCCTTTTATTTGCAGTGGCCTCAGGCACTGGTGGCACATTAAGTCTTTCCTGCTCTCTGTATTCTTATATTATTCTTATCTGGGATTGCTGAGTGTTGCTGTAGCTAATATAGTTGGGTTCAGCACTAGGTCATCTGCACAAAATATATTACCTGTGTTACAAACTTTATCCTAGATGTTCTCATCATTCCTTTCACTTTTAAGCTCTGTAAAACAAGACAATATATCTCTTTAAATGTGGCTGATGTATTGTAAACAGTGCATAAGAGATTTAAAAATAGCTTATGGTTTAAGCAGATTCAGTCTATGTCAGTATGTGGCATTTGTATGTCTTCAATATTAGTTAAAATTCTAATTCACAATGTGTGTATCTATACTGCTAGATAGATGAAACTGTAATCCTTTTCTATTATGGTGTATTTTATCATGCTTTCATAAGATACTTGTCACTCATAGTATCTTCAGTGGGGTGCCAGCAGCAGGCATTGTGTAACAGGACTGCATGAGATAGTGCACCCTCTAGATAGGAGGTAAGCCTGCCTGAGCTCCCTTTGAGAGGTCAGGTCTAGCAGTAAACATACATGATAGCTAGCTAATTAATCAGATTTTAATACATAATTTTGCTAAACTATGCTGTTAAAATTGTCTTTGTTATTACTTTCAATATGATGTTTCTTCTAATCCAGAACTTTAATTCTGTTCTTTATTTGAACTTGCATGTAGGAATTGCACGAGTTATTCAACCTGCCTTGTGACAGACCCTATTTCAAGAGAGCAAATGCTTATCATTTTCCAGATGAATCATATAAAGATGGATATCTCAGAAATCCACACTTACATCTGAATTCACCTACTATGGAGCCTGGTATGGTAAGTTTAAATTGGAACACTTGTAAGAAAGTACTTCTGATTTTACTTGAGATTTGTTATTATAAGAAGTAATTTAGTTAGTTCACTTTCTCATCTATACAATATTGACTGACTTGGCCTTTTAAGCAAAAGGGCTTCTCTGCACAAAATGGCATTGCTTTAGCTGTATTTGTCTCAAAGAAAACTGCCTTTTCTTGGAAAAGGATTTACACATTTTTAGCATGTGTTTTTGAAGTTTCTCAGAACCAGGACAAGAAACTAAAACTGATTGGAAATGTTTAGGAAGCAAAGACAGGAGGAGTAATCATGTGTGAGTAACTATCGTTCGATTCTTCCAAAGATTTTCAGTCCCAAACTGAAGGCTTTTACAGTTCAAGTGACAACTGATGTGCCTTCTCTGAAACTGATGCAAGTGTGATCAGATTCATTTGTATTATCTCTTTCTGTGCAGGTCTATTTAGTACATGGTGTCTATAGTTACCACCACTATATGCAGGATCGGATTGATGACAGTGGTTGGGGCTGTGCCTATCGGTCTTTGCAGACAATCTGTTCTTGGTTCAAGCACCAAGGTTACATTGACGCACCTATACCAACACACAAGGAGATTCAACAGGTACAGGACATTTAAGGGAGTTAGTTATTTTGTGCATATTCATCTAGAAAAGTTTGTATAGGTTATTTTTAAAATTCATCAATTCATGTATTTTAGCTTTTGGATTTGTGTGGTATTTTTAATTTCTCTCTTAAATTGAACTATAGTAGTTCTGAATTATTATTTATATAGTTTTATTACAGGAGATCTGTCTCCAAATGTTTATCAGTGTTGGGTAACATCTGTACAAATAAGACTCATTAAAATAGGCTTCTAAATATTTCCTTGGACTAATGCTCTATTAGAAGCTGAGATCAGGAGCTCACTGTTTTCACCAAATGAAAGAAAACAACCCAATGTGTTGTACTAAAATCCGTTTTAAAACTGCCTTTTGTATTCAGTGACATCTGGGTTAGTCTCCAGATGCTATGTATTGATTTAGCACCTTCTTTTGCAACTTTGATACTAGTGGGGTTTTATTTCTTTTTTTGAACTCTCCACTTCTTTTTCTATTGTGAATTTGAATGCATACCTGAATACATTCATTTCCGTTAACAACACTGAAGAAAAGCTGTAGGCATGAATAGCTAATACTGTATGCCTAGCAAGAAATACTGCAGTTATCTTTAGTCTTCTGATAGTAGTTCTTTGTGTTGTATTTATTTACTGCATATATTTAGCAAAGGTTGATTCAGTCCATAAAACAACTCTCATCGTACCTAACAGGGATGTGAGCTCTGAAGTTAAAACTGCAAACTGCATTTCCTGAATGTTTATCAATCCACACCTAAAAGCAACTGAAGTCCATGTGCTCCTGTAGTATTTTTAGACATCTGTAAGAAGGCAGTAGCCTTTCAGGAGGCTTTGGATCCTGAGCAGAAAAGTCCCCTGAAGTGCTGTGTGTAACATACAAGCCCCAGAATGGAGAAGAGTTTAAAACAAACCTCAGCCTTCAGTGTATTTCAGTGGCTTCTTCCTCAGAGCACTATTTTATGGATCCTTTTCTGAAGTGCTTTGAATGGGAATCCAGGTACTTCAGTTTGTGGAATGCTCCTGCAGTACAACAGATGCACTCCTTTATTTGACAGCTCAGTTCTTACCATCCCAGCTTGAGGTCTGCCTGTGGACCTGGGGTGATATTCTGTGCTTATAGGCATTCTGTCTTAGGTTCAAGTGACGTTTCCGGAACAGAACAGCAGTGACTGTAATCCAAGATCCATTTGTCTGCTTTTGACCAGCTAGGTTCAAAACGCATTCCCACAGAGTGGTAGAGTTGCCTACTGTATGTTGTTGACATTTGTTTTTATTCATCATGATGTTGCAAAGGCATTGGTTGATGCTGGAGACAAGCCTGCAGCATTTGTTGGGTCACGGCAGTGGATTGGTTCCATTGAGGTACAACTTGTTTTGAATCAGCTTTTTGGAATAACATCAAAAATATTATTTGTCAGGTAAGAATTGCTATCTGTTTATAACAACTCAGTAATTATTAAAAAAACTTGAGTGCCTTAAAATGTAAATTACCATTACACTATATGGGAGAATAGGGATAATAAAGGAGATTAATCTTTTAAGGGTTCCATGTTCATCAACCCTGTATTCCTGACTTTGGTTGTGCTAAGTGCTTACAGGTGAAGGTGTTGCTAGATTTCTTGGGGGCTTAGGGTTCCAGGTTGCAGTTACTACAAATTCCTTAACGATACGCAAACTGATGTGGAATTCGGCCGTTTCTTTTGCACCACAAACAGGTTTTGAAGCAGGCTCACAGCCTGGCAGTCATAATGAACTGAGTGCACACTGACAGTGAATTATGACTTTGTTCATAGAGCTAGCCCATCAGTTAAGGACTGAGGCAAATTGCTGAGCAGCCTGGAAATAGTGTGCTCTTTTCTGGGTTTGTGTGACAGATAAAACAAGGAATTTGTTTCCATTGTGACAATCTGATGCTCTCATATGCAATAAAGAGCCCTACAAATATGTTTGGGACAAAAAGAATAATGTTCAGCATTTATCAGAAGTAAAGCTACTGGATTTTTGTCATTTAGGCAGGATTAAGCAGAATAACAAATCCATGAATGTTTTGTGATAAATACAGCCATGAAATAGAGTATATACTAACTCAGATATTATAAAACTCTAGTCATACAAAATACTACTCATGAGCTATGTTTATTTGGAATAAATTCTCCTGTGGATATTCTGAAAGAGCATGTGGCCATGGTGATTCTTAATGGTAAGAAAACAATTCTTCAATTTTTTGTAAAGCTTTATACAGCCAATTTTTAATCTTTTTTGTTCTAGAGCTTGTATTTGCAGCTGATCCACCTATTATTTCTAGCAGCTGTGACAGGCCCTGCCAGGGTGAAGGGTTTTATTCCTTTTATTCCTAATATAGAATAGATTCCTTTGTGAACTGGGTAGAATTGCTCATATCGCTGCTACAAGGAAGCACCAATGTTTTTCAGGATTAAGAAAATTAAGAAAAGCCAACATCACTACCGTGCTGAGAAGAATTGTCATGCATCTGTTTCAGCTGGTCACTGGCGGTGGATAGCATTTTTGTGTTGGACTTATTTCCAGCTAGCACATCTAACTCTTCATCTAAATAAGACTTTACAGCTGCACTAACAGCACTCATATGGAATCTGTTATTTCCCGTTTTGTGTTCTGTCTACATTTAATGAATCTCTCCAGGAATTTGAGAAGCAGACATGCGGGCTTTCTTGGGGTTTTCAAAAGGTTAACTGCTATATGAAGAAATAGAAATACATGAAAAATATCTGCATTAATTTCCTTGCCCCGCTTCTGTCACCACTTTTGGGAGTACTGTCAGTGTTTCAAGGGGAATATGAATATCTGTCAGACATATATCTTCAGCTCTGAGTCCTGGAGTATGTGCATGTATTGAGAGCATGCCTTTCTTTTCCATGTAGATGCCTTTTGTCTGTGACTGGTCCCCGTAGTTGAAAAGCAAAGCAGGGAGATTATAACAAATCTAAGTCAGTGTAGCTTTGAACAGATCAGAAATGTTATTTGAGGTTTGATTTTTCAAAGCCAGCTTGGGTATGAGTGCTTTAATTGCCTGTGCAGTTGGACTGAAAACTGTAAGTTGCATTAAAAAACTTTTTCAGATTATCCCAGGATGTTTACACAGAAAAACTTTAAGCCACTTTCTCATCAGTTACTTACATACAGTACCTTATGTAGTTAATGTGCATAACATAATGAGCAAATTAAGCCCAGTGAGGATGACATACCTGTTGTTGTTCTTACCCAGCCAGGGTTCTGAACTGGCATTGCAGGGAAGAGAGCTTTCTAACCATTTCAAGTCTGAAGGAACTCCAGTTATGATTGGTAAGTGCTTGACTATCAAAGAATTGCCAATAGAAGAGTGTGGCCTCCCTAAACTGAATTTCATTTCAACTAGAACTCATTCTGTTTACTGTACAAGAGTTAATCAGAACCCTAGGTGAATTAAAAATTATGCTTTTACCATGGAAGCCTTGAAGACGGTACAACTTATTCTAGCTGGTGTCTTTCCGCTCAGTATTTCTCCCAAGCTCAGTATTAAACATGGTAACACAAGTCAGTCTAAGAAGTGTTCTTAAAAATTGCTGTGGAAGTCAGAACTCAAGACCTGACTTCTGTTCTCTGGAGGAGCAGAAGCTCCCCAGAATTTCTATCACAGAAGAGTAGTGTTTGCCTGGCTTTGAAGAGACGGGTTTTAGCCAAATTCTTGTTAAACCAGTTTTAATAATCTGAAATATTGGCAACATAAGAAATTCTCTTCATTAAGAATGCTGTAACTTTAACTGAACTATTTCCAAGACAGCCATGGTTTAGAAAATGAAGAATATTGAAATAGCACTTTCAGCTTTAATAAATTACCATTTTAAGTTTTCCTAATCTGTACTGGGCATTCCATAAAGATGGTGTCAGATGGGGACCTCTCAAATTAGACGTCCAAAGTTTGGTATGAAATCTTCCCTAGTTGTAGTAAAGATATGTCTGTTAATAATGTGAAGAATCTTATGTAGGACAGCTTCACAATCATTTTGATAACCAAACTAATCTGTTAATTAATAGAAAGTGTTGACATACTTTTACCATAGGCTTGCACATATAGCCAGTGTCAGTGAAAAGCTACCAGTTTATGTTCCTACTGTTTTAGGTGGGGGTGTTTTGGCTCACACAATATTAGGAGTGGCTTGGAATGAGATTACAGGGCACATCAAGTATTTGATCCTAGACCCACATTACACTGGAGGAGAAGATCTGCATGTCATTTTGGAAAAGGTGAGGCTTGATGCACGTGTATGTAAACACACATTTTGGCATTAAACGAGTAATGTACAACCGAATACAAATTGGCCATTCTATAGCTTCTCCATTCCTTATGATTTCCAGTTAACCTGCACATATGCTACTTACTGTTAGTTTCTGAAATGTAGTGTCTTCAGGAAGATATCCAGTCAGCAACTCCATAAAGGTTTTATAGTACAAAGAGATGTTTTCTCTTATTAAAAGTATCTCCTCTTTTACCCAGCAGTACATACAATAAATGCGTTTGGCATTTTGAATGGAACAGAAGAATTTGTTCAGCCTGCTAAATGCTGTTAGTGAAGCAGAGAAGATAACTTAATTTTTTTAAGTGCCAGCACGAGGCACTCTCAGATCAGGCCTTGACCTAATTCTAAAGGGCAAGTACTGAGCTGTTTCAAAGATGTAGGAAAACTGAAGAATTAAAAAGTATGCAACATTGTTTCCATATTTAAAGCTCCTTAAAAGGATGATGGCACATAACAGTAAAGAGTCAGAAATATAAACTGTGAACATGCCTAAATCATCCTATAGGTGTTAAGTAAGCAACTTCTTTTCTGTTCTTCATACTAAGTTAAAAATAGCAATTTTTATTTCCTGTCTTGATTTGATACCCTTGGGTTTGGCCCAACTAGAAAAGCTGTTGAAGAAACATTTTCCTGTAATAATCAAAGCTTCAAATGAACACAGGAAGAAACAATTTCCAAACAACATGTAGAACCAGCTACAGGGTGTTGCAGAATGCTCCAATGGGATAAAACACCTGTAGAACCCCTTCCCTCCTCAAAAGTGGCAGGGGAGGAGCTCAGGTGGACTCTTGAGTTTGTAGCTCTTTTCTTCAAGAACAGCTCATATAATTACGTGTTACTCAGTAAACTTCAGAGCTTTCTTGGACTGTTTTTCTGACAGATAAGGATCAACAGCACACCTTCTGATATTTAAGAGCTGTGTTTGGCTCTGAAATACCAACTACTACCAAAGGCAGCAAGGATTCAAGGCAAGAGGAATAGAAACTGGGAATGATGAGTGTCAGAATGACACTAGTCTCTCTGTAGCAGCAGAAGGCAGAGAGGAGAGGGAAGATTTTTTTTTTTCAGGAGATGAGCTGTGGTGGGGAGGGAGGAATGGGGAGAGAGACGCTGAAGTCTTTTCTCTTAAAGTGTTTCCAGGCATGTAGAGAACTTGCTGGAAATGGCATGTCATTGCATTCTATAAATGAGAATTCATACTGCTTAGATTAAAATTAGTGAAAAACAATAGATCTGCTAGTAGAAGGTAAGAATGGGATCGTAGTAGATTTAAAAACTATGTTGCTTTTTCTTGGACAGGGCTGGTGTGGTTGGAAGGGCCCTGAATTTTGGAACAAGGATGCCTATTACAATCTCTGCCTACCTCAACGACCCAAAACTATTTAAAATCCACTCTTCTGCTGGAATATGCTAAAACAGAATACTGGCTGATCTAGATAATGACTGTTGTGTTAATACTCAAAATCATGCTTTCAGTCAGTCAGAACCCAGGTGAAACAGAAATGTCACTGTTTAAATTAAGAATTTTATTTTTTAATGAAACCTTTAAAAATAAAGAGTTATCTGCTGTGAACCGTATTTCTTACAAATACTTTTATTTGGTAACTAATACCATTCTTTTGGCTAGGACAACTTTATGTTCATACAGCATTTTTATTTTTACAGATTAAATGCCTAATCCTTTTATGTTGTGGAATTCTTTCTTGCCAAAAAGACTGTCCTCTGCCTGTCGAGTCCCATAGCACCAACTGCCTTGTGCATGACAAATATAGTCCAGGGTATGATTTGCTGCTGGTACTGTTGATAACATTTGAGGAGTGAGAAAAAAAATGGCTTTTATGAATTTTATGAACTTTGTTCTCACATTTACACAGGAAAAAAATTGAGGGAATTGATTGTTATATACTCCATTTATTTATAGCTGTATGAATAACAACTGTTCTAGGGGAGAAAACCCAACCAACCAACAAAACACCAACAACGCAACAGTCTTCTGTAAGAAGTAAAAACAAACGAGCTTTCATCCTTCTCGGAAGGAGACAATGTACGAGCACATACATACACATCTTGCTGCTCAATGTATAGTCAGTCCAGTCATGCTTCTTCAGACTTCAGATTCCCCTTGATTTCATTTTGGGATGACAAGGCATTTTTCAGGAGATCAGATCTGTCATACAAACAAACAAGTAATTCTGTAGCTGCTTTATCAGTACATCAGTAAAATTACCTGGGATTCCACCCTACTCACCCCACAAAGCAGTCTTTTCCATGGCATTCCCCATGAACTGTCTGGTTTGGTAAGACCGTAACTTTAAATACTTACACAAGCTGATCCTTACGAGCAGGCTTCTAAATCCAAGTGCTATGTACCCAACACTAAATTTATTTATTTAAATGATAAAAAGTATTCGAAACCTATTCTGAATTGTAATAAACCAACAGTATTACACACCACCTGATCTTCTCCTCTTCCTGCTTGTGGATCTGGTGGTTCCACCTTCTTGTTTCTGTGCAGCTGGATCCTCTCTCAGCAAGCCATGATTGTCCCTTGGTGAGTAGCCAGACTGTCCTCTCAGTTTCATTGTCTGAGTGTGCTGAGTTGTCCTGAGGAACCTGGCACATTCCAGAAAGCCATAAGCCAGGGCCAGGTCTGCTGCTGTTTGTCCGCTGTTGTTGCACAAGCTGAAACAGAGTTAACAAAAACCATTCCATTAAAATGCAATATATGTAATGAGCAAGCACTCTTCAATTTGATTAAGTGGTAACTTCAGATGGAGGTATAAAGATAAGTACAGAGAACTGATACCAACACGGCTTGCCAAGGGTAGCATGGGACTCGACTCATATGGAGGGTTGGTATTAAATGCACCAAGGAGTAAGTGTTCTAAAATCTGTCATTAGACAAATGACTGGCTCAGCATATCAGAAAAGCAAGAGGAGGGTGAGTGCAGCATTAGTCAGAATGGAAAACTTACAAGGAGAACTTACAGTCAGGAATATTCTCTTAGCGGTTTCTGCAGAGGCTTTTAACATGGAACGGAACAGCATATGGTCTGTGCTACTTCGGTGTTTATGGCAGTTTTTCATACTGGTCTTAATGACAACACTCAAGCTATATTTATAGTCTTGGCATGAATGCTCTGAACAAGGGAAAGTATTTGTAAAATACACGTATCCTCTGACACTTTCTGAAATAACTAAATGTAGCCCAACTTACTCAATTTTGGCATCACCGGCAACAAGCAGAGCAAGACATTCCAAACTCCCAACTCTTGCTGCTTTATGAATCGGGGCTTCTCCAAGGCAATCCTAAAACCACAGTTTATATGTAGCAGTCAATTTGAAGGAAGGGGAATAAAATGAGACTATCTTGTTCTCCATCATGACTGTTTATGGAGTGTCTGTTGAGTTGAGAAATATTAAAGGACAATAGCTAGTGAAGTGTACCTGGTAAGTGCCATTAAGTGCTTAGTGTATTCATCACAGCAGAGCAGAAAACCTGTCCCATACAATACTCATTGTTTAACCTTTGCCTTCTGATAGATGATGTACACAGAGTATAGCCTGTACACTGATGAACAGCATCTTTCAGCACCATTCAAGGATTGCTGTGACCAATAGCTTGCTGCTACCAGCTCAGAGGTATAGGCAAATTAAATTGCAGCCAGAGGAAGAATCCTTAACATAGACTGGAAGTAGGGATTCGATTTTGGAGGAAAAAGGAATGCTCATTTGTGTAAAAAAAGTAGGTTCTTTTGACATCTGCAATGCAGGATTGTAAGTGAAAATCACGTTATACATAGCAAATGAAATCACTAATGCAATCTAGACAGGATTTCTGGTTCACTGAAAAATAAAGTTATGCTAAAATAAGCAACCCTAGATATCTCATGAAATACAAGTGGTGTATATATAAAATCTTAGATAAAAAAATACTCAAATAATATAAACCGAATTTACTGACATGCCAGGTTAGAAATGGAAGAAAAACTTACGTATTTTACCTGTTGGTTTAAATTCGCTCCCGTCTGCAGTTGCCAAAGTAGGAAGAAGGCTTCCCCACCGCAGGCAGCCAGGTGAGCTGGAGACTGACCAAAGGCATCTGCAGGTGCATTCACAGCAGCTCCTGCCTCCAGCAGATCGCTCAGGCTACCGGACTGAAAGAGAAGGAAGTAAAAGACAGGATGTTACCGCCGAAGGACGCTGCTCCGTAGCAGAAACACCCCCTCGCAGACCACCAGCCCGTTACGTTCCTTGAGACTGCCCTGTAAGGAAAAGCAGCCCGAGTCTCCTACCCAGCAGTACTGCCGGACACGGGCAGCGTGCCAGCGCGCCGGCAACAGCCCCGCGCCGCTCACCTCCGCGCCGCAGCCCAGCACCAACATCACCGCCCGCTCCCCGCGCACGCCGCGCTCCCGCCGCTGACAGCCGGCCCCGGCCCCGGCCCCGGCCCCGGCCCCGGCCCCGCCCCCGGCAGCAGCAGCACGTACGCAACCACGGGCCCGCCGCGCCCCCCCGGCCCCGGGGTGCCGGTGCTGAGGGCTGGCTGGCGGGCGGGCGGGCGGCGCCATGTCGCGCGGGGTGCCCCGGCACGTCCCTCACACCCGCGGTCCCCCCGGCTGACCGCGCGGGGCACTCGCCATGGCGCTGGCTCGGGCTGCTGCTGGCGAGGGCGGCTCCCACGGTGGTCCCGGCTGCCCGCGGGCCCTGACGCTGGCGGGGGAGGGCGGTATCCGGACCCACCTGGGTCTAGGGAAATAAACCCCAGGGGATTAGCTTGGATTTCCCCTCCCCCAACCCCCTTAGGTCAGCATGCAGAAACCCACCCACCGCTACTGCCTTCCTGCCCGAGCTGTGCCACCGGGATAAGGGGGCTGAATGGGCAAGACACACTCGGCCATCTCTGAAGCCCAACGCTCAATGCAGCCAGTACGGCACATCCATCTCCAGCCTGAGTGGGACTAGGCCTGGTGATGGGGGATTCTGGGGTCCCCACCTATTGCACTTCCATTCAAAATGCATTTGGAAAAACAGAAACTTAATGTTCACTTCTTTGAGCATTAACTGGCCCGGAGCAGGTCAGACCATAGAGGCCAAGGTCACAAACAAAGCCTTCCAACCACAGGCCTCTGCACGGGAAACCAGGACCAGCCATGGCAACACTTAAAGACCATGAGAATGCCTGGAATCCGTTCTGAAGGTGGCAACAGTGACGGGTTGGTGAAACCTGCTTCCCCCCAGCAGAGCTTTACCGCTCGGTGTCTATGGCTGTTGGGGAAGGCAGGGCAAGAGAGTGGCATGTCTACACACACGGTAAAACACACTCTACACCGTTTGTGGAAGCTGAGAGCAGTCAATGCCATAACTTCCCTTTGCACGGACAGAGCCTTTGCTCACATATCTGACGGTAACTGCCTGTCCTTTCCGTGCTATACAATCCAGTCTGGCAGCGGATTCAATTACCGCTAATGGTACTTCCCCATTACAAGATTCAGGTGAGGAGCATCTTAACCCAGTCAGTGTCTGAGGTATACAGTTTTCTTCCCTTAGCACTACAGTATTTCCTTCTGTCAGGTGCCTACATGTTTGTTATGGAAGTTACTCATAATCACTACCATCACTTCAAAAAAAAAAGGGGAAATAAAAAGTTATGTTTTAAAAAATGAAATCCCATGGGCTTGATAAACAGAGTTAGGGGAAAAGCAGCCTAACAGTGTTCCTTTGGGGCATATAGAGTTCTGAAATAAACGCACAAACGTTGTGACAATTACCTCCTGCTTCCCCTTTCAGAAAGGAAATACAAATCATTAAGTAGTGGAATATAAACACAGACAATCTCTTTTTCAACAGTGTGTAAATCCAGGTACAAAGGCAATGTATCAGTTCAGCAGAATCATTTCAGTGAGTTTTCACCTCTCCTTTCATATGGAAATACACGTGTGATTACCAGATTACCAGATTCTACCCAACAGCTAGCCCAGCCAATGAGTTAATAAACAAATTAAATCCCTACACTTCCATCTGCAGATTGTAAGGTATGAAATACACAGCTGCACAAATGCCAGAAATCCACAGTCATTGTTTATGCAGTCGCAAAGACTCTTCTGAAAACCACATACCCAGAAGCAGCTTAAGACTTGGATTGCCCAAAAGGATGTTTTGTTTTAAAGCCTTCCCTCCCCTGCATGACCTCAGCAATTCCCCGGTGTCAAAGTTGAGGAATCCCATCTTTCCAGCTGAACCACCTACACAGACTCTGGCATCCTGCCGGCCCCAACTCTCTTCAAATTAACTGTTGTTAATTTGTTCTTGAGCTTCCTGTCACATTTGCTCACATCATTAGTGCCTGCAAAACTCTTCTGCCGCTGAGTAACTGTTACTTGCATTGGTTATAAACACAGGCAGCTGGTTTGGAATAAAACCCGCTAAAAATCCCTCTGCGCTTTGAATCCCAGGCCACACATCTTGCATAGGTATCAAGAAAATTATACTGGAGGAGCCAGCCCTAATAAACATGTGTAAGCAATGGGATGAGCCAAGGTGTGCTGCTGAACCTCGCACCTTTCAGCGCTGAAAGCAGCAACCAGCGTTAACTGCCTTTGCTCGAGGGTACTGCTGCTTCCACAGGCTGTTCATCACCCTGCCTGTTTAGTCCAAGTAATTCATTGATGCTTCACAAAAAGTTTATTTCCTGTAGATTTCTTGGCCTGTATCATCTACACAAAGCAAATCAGGATGAGCTACAGGAGGGCTTGGCAACTAAAGTCAGTTGGGACTGTTGGATAACGTCATGTGGAGCCCACAAGTTTAACCCCATAAAACCACAAGCATTACCCTCTTGGTCTGTTGCCTCTGTCCCTGTTGCTATAGACACAGAGTGCGCTGCCAGAAATAGCAGGATGATAGTCATCTGGGAGGAAAATAAAAGGCAAAATTAAAATCAAAGCCGGGAATGCAGCTAAAGATTATTTTTAAAGCACTCACGCAGCATTTTGTTGATGTATCCTTTTTGTAGGAGACAGCCAGAAGCTATCAACAGAAGTAGAAACAATGCCTTACATTTCAGGAGAAATCAGCTTCACACAGCATTTCTCCTAAAATATCTTTGCGACTTTGATAGTGTCTATATGGGGAAAACAAACTGCAACAAATGGCTTCTGATCACTGGGAATGCTGAAGTCTCCATGTGTTAGGCTGTTACACAGCCTCACCACCTTGTAACTGAGCCACATTCAGAGCTTCTGTTGGTTTTGCCTATAATCTCTTCTTGCACAGTATTTTGGGCTTCTGCGTTTAATTTGGTACAGGACTGGCAGGCAGTAGGAAAGATCCAGTGGATGGCCAAACACAGCCTGTCCTAACTCACCATGTATTTTCACATCGTTTAGCACTAGCCAACAGCTAGAAATGTTATTTCCACAGCCCCCTGGCCCACATGACTGCTACAGAATCACAGAATGGTTAGGGTTGGAAGGGACCTTAAAGATCATCCGGTTCCAACCCATGGCCATTGGACAGGGACATCTTCCACTAGATCAGGTTGCTCCAAGCCCCGTCCAGCGTGGCTTAGCGTCTCGTTTCTCGCAGAAAACGGACCAAACCCAAAGGTAAAACGCCAGTGTTACCTTCCCTGTCTTCCTCCTTCTGCCCGGTCAGAGGACGTGGGACCACAAAGCCCAGCTACGCAGCAGTGCTTGATGCCGCCGCAGTGCGGGCTGGGCTGGGTGGTGCTTCGGGACAGCAAGGGGGGCAACTGCCGCGCAACCGCCCTTAGCCAACCGACATCAGCCCGCCGCCGCCGGCTGCCTCTAGGCGCTCCGCCGCTCCCCGCCGCCGGCGGCTCGCGCAGCCCGACACCAGCGAGGGCCGCGGCCGCTCTCCCGGCCTGCCGTCACCCGGCGCGGCTGGCGGGCTCGGCTTCCCGCCCACTTGGAGGCTCGCCACCCCGTTGCCCTCGGCCTCCCGCCGGGGCGGGATGAAGCTGCGCAGCGAGCGGCTACCGCTGGCCTACAGCACCCAGCTCGCCCCTGAGGCATCAGGTACGGACCCGGCCCTCGGGGCTGCCCCCTCAGCTGGGCCTGCCGAGTCCCTCAGCCCCGCTGCGTCCCAGCAGGCGCGGTAAGGCATTTCGTGATGTGAAGTGACCTCTCTAGTTCAGATTTGCTTTTAAGCAATTCCACAGCAAACTGAACCTTCACAAGGTCCTCACCGAACTTTATCCCTTTAATGAAATAGCCCTTTCATCTTGGTCCTTTAAAAGATGCAAACAGAAGGGGACCGCACCAGCTTCAGACCTTTAGTGTGCTTATCGATGCTGTTCTGTCTGTTTTGGGAAAATAACCGTAATGTTTGTCAATTTTTAAGCAGAGAACTGCAACCATGCTGCTTTATTTGCAAAAGCTGAGGAGCTGTTGGTGAAGAGAATGGCAAGCGGAGATCCTGTGGCATGGTTTTTGAGAGGACAGCTGTACTACGAAGAGGTTGTGGTGTCCTTCTAAGGAAATACTATAAAGCTGACAATTTTTTAATACAATTTCAGTGGTAAAAGAGAGAAAACCTTAAACTAAAAGAGATGCCTGTGCCTGGTTTTTTTTCCCACAAAAAGCACCAGGTGTTCCCCCACGTAAGTTTTTCCTGCACGGTCCCCAGGCATCTAGTGGTGGCTCCCAAGGATCAGGTAAAGAAGCAGCAGCCTGTCCCTACAGCTAACTTCCAAGCTGAGCTGGTTTTTGGCCAGCTGACTAGCTAACCACCACCTGCTGTTTTCAGTTACGTGGTTCTGGTCCCTGACCCCAGACACAGCTTTTGATCATTGCTCTCCCTTACCTAACTGCCAGTTTTGAGTTTAGTCTTTGTATAACCAACCCTCTGTTGAGATGTAAAAGCAGATTCTTATAAACCCTCGAGGTATAAGAATATCTCACTTAAGGGAAGTCAGATAGACGGGGCAGGGCATCTGGATTAGACATTTTCCTCCTTGAACGAAAAAGATGGCATTTGGGGGAAGGATAAAGATGGTCACACTGTCTTTTGGTTTCAGAGATGATGTTTGCATACCACTACTTGTTTGGAAGTCCTGAGTGCTTCCACCCTATCCAGCTTTCTTGTGGTTGTTGACTTACTCTGTTTCTGATTTTTACAACTTCTGTAGTTGTTCTATGCAAATTTTTGTTCTTTGTTCATGAGGGAAATGTGCCAAGTTGAAAAACTGCAAGAGAGCATATATCAGAGTGAGGCAGCCATATGTACCCTTTGTACTGTTCTGTCTTTCCCAGGGGTTGTATGAAGAAGCATTAATACAATTTGAAAAAATCAAGGATGTAGATTTTCAAGCAATGTATCAGTTTGGTGTAATGCATTATGATGGACTAGGCACTACAGAAGCCCCTGTAAGTAATATAGCTGTATGATTTTTACTTTCCTTTTAATATTAGCTGATGATTACTAAGACCTTCTTTATAAGCTTGATTATTTAGTCTAAAATAAGCAGGTCTTTGATTTACAATTAGTTTCAAGAAGTACAGGTGTTTAAAAAGCATCATTAAAAGATAGAGGGTTCTGAAGTAGTTCTCAAAAATAGCTGTAATAAAATAGGTTCATTTGAAAAAAACACAGTAATTTGTATTTTCAATTATGAATTTTAAAAGTTTGTGCTGTGTGGAAGCTGTTTTAAAATTGCTATTCGTTACTTATTAATAAGCAGTGTATATAGATGAAAAGGTATAAAAATGGAAATCAAACAACTATATAGTTTTGCACAAAGATGTTTTTTAAGGTACTTTCTAGTCTCTTAACATGGATACTAAAGAAGATTAAGCTTCTGCCAGTGGCTGGTAGTAATATTTTAAAATTAGAGAAAGAATTACATTTTCAAGAATTCGAAGAATTCAAATTGAAGAGTCACATTTCAGAAAAGGAAGATGAATGAATTGCTGCCATAAGAAGAGAGGTAATTTATTGGAGAACATGACTTAAAAGAGTGGTCGGAGGAGAGAATACAAATAGGGTGAAAGAAAGGGTATGTAACAAGATGGGAGGGGAAAAAATAAACAGCATATTAACAGATCAGATTCTTGTGCTTAGAGGATTGTCAGCGGAACAGAAATTATTCTGCTGTTTTTTTAGAGGTGGTTCATTTGTTCTGTATGCTGTATGCCTGCATAATTACCACATAGGTTTGTTTGCAAATAAACATGTCAGAAAAGTTTATTTCTTTTTTGTGTATTTCAGTATGAGAGAGGTGAGTAAGAGAGGAACCTTTTGCAAAGGACTGTCTCCAGTGCATTTAAACAGGGTGTCCATGCTAAATCCTAAAAGCATAAATCTTGTTTCCAAAATACTTTTGAGGTCCCTGGATGATACACCATACATCTGCTCATACGCAATGTTTGTTCTCCTTATGCTTATTTAACATTATCATTTTTTTGTCCATAATGAATTTAAGGCATTTTTAATGGAGGGACTTGAGAGTGTATTAGTGTTACCGCTTTGCCTTCTGTTAAGGTTGTTTTATGACTTCAGATACATTATGCAATATGAGAAAGTTTACAGAAGATCAGTATTGAAAAAGTAGCATGTTTAGGATGTGACATTCATTTATGTAAGTGTAAGAGTATTTCTCAGAAAATTTTTATCAATGAAGAGGAGTATAGTATTAGATGAACTTTTATAAGGAAATGTTTCACATTAAAAATACATGACAGCCAAAAATCTAGGGGCTGCCTAGTAACCAAAGATCAGTTCTGCTTTGCTGACACTGTTCTCCAGACTGTCCTACCAATATGCCTCAGCCTTTCTTCAGTGTGGAAAACTTACCTCTTTTGCAGAACATAGTGGATTGTCAGGTTCTTTTTCTCATGCTCTTCAGAGTCTGAATGTAGTAACCAAAATGTCTCAATTTTTAGGAGAGGGGAGTGGAATACATGAAGAAAATACTCTACTCTGATTCCCCAAAAGCAAGACGCTTGAAGTTTGCAGCTGCATACAATCTTGGCAGAGCATATTATGAAGGATGTGGTGTCAAGCAGTCAACTGAAGAAGCTGAAAGGTAATGGCAGTCAGTAATTTTCCTGACCAATCTAAGATGCTGTGTTACTTGAACTTTCTTTGTCCCCATTTTCTTAGGTTGTGGCTTTTTGCTGCAGACCATGGAAATCCAAAAGCAAGCATAAAGGCCCAGAGTACTTTAGGAATGTTTTATTCTATGTCAGCTCAAAAAGACCTGAAGAAGGTAAAGGCCACTTGTACCTTTTGAGTTTCATGAGTCCCAGTTAATCTTGACTTTGCAGAAAGATTAACAGGTTCAAACTTAAACAGGGGAAGTTCAGATTGGATATAAGGAAGAAGTTCATTACTGTGAGGGCGGTGAGGCACTGGAATGGGCTGCCCAGGGAAGCTGTGAATGCTCCATCCCTTGTGGTGTTCAAGACCAGGCTGGACAGAGCCTTGGGTGACATGGTTTAATGTGAGGTGTCCCTGCCCATGGCAGGGGGTTAGAACTAGATGATCTTAAGGTCCTTTCCAACCCTAACTATTCTGTGATTCTATAATATATTTGTCTCTGAAAGCTGTATTTTAAGTACTGCTAGGCATTATTATCTGAGTCTGTATGAACAGATGGCCAGAATCACTCATTTTGACTAATTTGACACTGCTGGCCAATGTGTTTTGGTGGTGTTTTTTTTTTTTACTGGGAGTAACAGGGAGAACTGGTATTGGAATAGAATGGATTTGAGTTTTGTCAGCTTTGGTCACCTTCAGAAATCAAGAAGTCACTGATGATAAATGAAGCAGGTTTTAAAGCCTTACAAGGATTCTGCTTTCTTTTATGTGCAAGCATTTCTTACAGGATGGTTGATATAAGAGTGTTTATGTAAACGCTATGGAACAAAGTAGCTAAAGTAAATGTGTACTCCAACTTTGTGCCTCTTCTTTAGGCCTTTTTCTGGCATTCAGAAGCATGTGGCAATGGAAGTCTGGAATCACAGGGAGCACTCGGTGTTATGTATCTCTATGGACAAGGTATAGGTCAAAACACTAAGGCTGCTTTGGAGTGTTTGAGAGAAGCAGCACAGCGTGGCAACATCTATGCTCAAGGTCATCTTGTAGAATACTATTACAATAGAAAATTTTACTCAACAGCTGCTGCAGTAGCCAAAAGGTGAAAATAATTTTGATTTTTTATGATGATTCTTTATGTAAGACCACAGTGCTCAGATTAAAATGATTAATAAGTTCATGCTCTTGTCTCTCAAACTCAGGAGATGTTTGAGATAATGAACTGCAAAACCTCATGTAGAAGAGGGAATAGCAACTGAGTGACAAAATTAATACTGTAAGGTTCCCACCACTTTTCTTTCTGATCCTGTGAAGCAAAACAGCCTTGAGCTAGAATCTTAAGTAGACCAAGCAGAAGCCCACATGCAACCCTGCTTTCCATGTCTCCTCAGTCCACAATCTCTAGGCTTCACTACTCCCTTTTAAATCCCTACCATTATAGAACCCCAGGTTGGAAGGGACCTCAAGAATCATCTGGTCCAGCTTTTCTAGGC